ACAAGACAGAATGATACAAGGTGGTGAGGTTGCCCTCATACAATGCTGATCCCAGAATAATCGGACCACGCAGAATGCACGCAACTACGCTATGAAAAAATAGCACTTGGAGAACTGAGTATAACACCACACTACACCTCCTAAGCTCCACGACAACACCCCCATAAGGGAGAACGATGCAAAGCGTCGTCTCTGTCGAGTCCACACTGCACAAATATTTTCATCCGGAACCCAGACACAAAGAGGAGCACCACGACGATATCTTCAAGAAGAGAGCGGCGCCTGCGAACGTCACCGTCGTAGGCAACAAAGCGCAGAGCTTTCACTTCGTAGCTCCCTTGTGCCAACACGAGGTCTCTAGGACAAGCACAGTGAGCCCAGATCTCTAGATCCGAACTAGAGCGACACCGCTTTCAGTGACGGAGAGTGCGCCCGGGCCACCCGTCGCTCCACCACTTGCCACCCACATGATCAAGAGGGAAAGCCATCACCGCCGCCCTAGTGCCCACCGGAGAACCCACGATGCAGACCGCCGCCCCAGCATCCATGTCCGGGACACAACCAACCGCCCACATCACTGTGCAGCCACCACGGTAGGAGCAGTAAAAGGTGTCTCCTTTCACTCCTAGCACGACATCATCCATGGAGTTGGGCCGGCTCCTCCACTGTAGGAGGTGCGCACGCCTGCATCTCCAGCCAGTCCTGGTGGACCGAAGGAGACAACCCCGCGACTACCGACGGCCGTCGCCAAGCACGACGCCATGTTTGTGGCCATCGACGTCGATCTACCGGCAGAACAACGGAGTCCCAACCACCACCATCTAACATTGCACCCACAAGGAGAGGGACATCATTGCCCGCGGGCACCATGTGGACCGAGCCCACCATCGCCTACCTGGACCGAGAACTCTGACCTATCTCGGCCCTTAATCTGGTTCGCCCGAACCCGAGCCCTAGGTCTTGAGCATCTCTGCCAGCCCGAACCTAGGAGAAGGGAGGATCCACCACTACCCGCACCTCGCTGCCGCACGCCACTGGCACCGTGACCGCATCAACGACCAGCGCAACCACCTACGGACACCCAGACCGATCTCCTTAAGGGCATGTACAATGGTTCTATCTTAGCAATGCCACGTAGGATAAATGATGAGGTGGATGAAAGAGAAATCATAAGAGAAGGCTTGTCTTCTCTTAATTAAGAGAAGGCAAGAGATGATCTCTTAGCATAATATGTCTCACCACAATTTTAGGAATAACTAGTTATTGATGATAAGGCTAAAAAATGACCCATTGTAGACATGTTTTTCTGTCATCTCTAAATTACATGCAAGATTTAAGTTAAGACTACCTTATCGACCATTGTACATGCCCTAATATAGCAGGATAACATGACCATTACCTACTGAAGGAGAAAAGCTTCTCCAACCTTCCACCATAGCCCACATCGACGTGCACGGAGGACATTCACCATCGACACTTGCAGCCATACTGCAAAACCCAGGGCTGGCCGCCGAGGACATCGAGTGACTGAGTGTTGACACGTGCCCAGGCGACATGCAAGAACAACACGAGGACGAACCCCCTGTTGGCCACCCCCACCACCGTCCAACAACAAACTAGTGCCGCCGAAGGAGCAACCCTCACATCCGCCAGATTTGGTGCATCCAGATCCGGGCGGAGCCCTACCTGCAATGCGGCCACAACAACAGTAGCCACAACCGTCTTCCTCCAGATGCACACCTTCACCACCATCCCCGCTGACACAAGTCGAAGCCACCACTCAGTCCGCCTCCCTATCATGCATGTACCCGACACAGCGAGGAGGGCATTGCGGGCGCCGCCACACACCCTAGACCCAACACAGCCGGCACGACACCAACGCCCGCCCGAGCCAGCGGCCTGGCTGAACGCCTTGCCGCCGTCGCGCCCCACGCCAGCGCCGCGCCCGCCATGTTGTTGCAACCCGGTCACCACGATCACCTATAGGCACCGGGCACCATGGTCGCTTATGGGCGAGCTGACGAGCCGGCCATCCGGCTGCTTCCGGAGCCACGCTCGTCGACGACGAAGAGGCTCTGTAGCAGCCTCTTTGCGCTCTATCGTCGTACAATCGGGAGGAGCGTCCCACCGCTCGTAGCTTCGCTGTGCGGCCGTGCTGGGATCACCAACCAGCCGTGCTGGAACGGACGGGCGGAGAAGTTGCAAGCCGGCAGCCGCCCGTGCTGGAATTGCCGGGCGGCGATTTGTGCTGGAACCCGACGATAGACTCTGCTGGAACCAGCCAGCCATTTGTTGGGCTAAGTCCCTCCACATGGAGGTGTGTTGGCAGCCCAACATCAGCCCATAAGTCCAACACATGTCAGTCGTTGATCTTCGCTGCATCCAACGATTGAGAGCGCTTCCAAGGGAAGTGAATCAAGAAGAAAACCCTAGCCACACCACCCCTTGCTGGTGGTGGCTGCCATTCGTGAGAGTGAGAGAGAGAGCACACAAGAGAAAACACAACCTGAGAGAGAGGAAGAAGAAGAAGCAGAGGTCTGTCCAGATTTGCTGCATTTGACTAGACAGTGTTCAAGCTGGTGATTGGAGGCTCAAACGTGGTTGGATCGACCCCAAACTTGGTGAGCTCATTCCTTACTTTGAGTACTTCAATTTGGTTAGCTGGTTTGAGGATTGGGTCAGTGGAGCATCATATTTGAGAGTGGTCTTGTCAGCTCTGACTGCTGCAGTTTCAGAACAGAGTAGTTTTGTGAGACGAACAGTTTGGGTAGGCAAACGATGTCCGATTGAGCTGAAATTTGGAGGGGATCTCAGGAACTCGTGTGTCTACTTGTCTGCCAAATTTGGCACTGTTTGGTTCAGCGGTTTAAGAGCAGTTTGCAAAACACTGGAGGGTACAGAAGCTGTCTAAACTCTACTTTGCTGAAATCTTGCCTCTTGTGGCCGTTGTTGCTTGTTGCCGGTTGGCAACGTGGAGAGTGTGTTGTAAATCTCTCTAGAGGTTCTAGAAAAGACTTTGTACTCATCATTTTCATAGTGAAGTTGCGTGGACCGATTGATGCGGAATGTTGCAGAAAATAAAAAAATTCCTACGGTTTAACCAAGATCCATCTATGAGTTCATCTAGCAACGAGTGATAGGAGTGCATCTACATACCTTTGTAGATCGCGAGCGGAAGCGTTCAAGAGAACAGGGTTGAGGGAGTCGTACTCCCCGTGATCCAAATCACCGATGATC